TTAAGAGGAGAAAATTGAGACTGAGAAAGTTTCAGAGTCTTGGCCCATGTCACACAATTAATAAAAAGCAGAGCCACAGACTGGGAAAACATTTGCAAAACACATATCCAGTAAAGAATTTGTACCCCAAACAAACAAAGAGCCATAAAACTCAAAAATAAGAAAACAAACCACCCTGTTAAGAAATGGGCAAAAGATCTGAGCTGACATCTCAGCAAACATGACACGCAGATGGTAGGAAAAAAAAAATTTATGAAAAGATGTTCAGCATCATATCTCATCAAGGAGTTGCAAATAAAACAAAAATCTCTGAGCTACCACTACGCACCTATTAACGTGGCTAAAACCCAGAACACAACCACCAAGTAAGTGCTGGCGGGAATGAGCAATAGGAATTCTCTAATTCATTGTTGAAATGAAAAACAGTATTGCCATTGTGGAAAACAACAGTCCCTTACAAAACTAAACTTAGTCTTACCATACACAATGCAGCTCATGCTCCTACGTATTTATCTAAATGAATTAAAAACATCTCCACACAAAAACTTGTGTCCACACAAATGTTTATCATAGTTTTATTCATAATTACCAAAACTTAGAAGCAATCAAAATATCTTTCATTAGGTGAAGGAATAAACAAATGGTGGCACATCTAGACAATAGAGTATTATTCAGCAATAAAAATAAACGAGCTATCAAGCCATAAAAGGACACAAAAGAAATTTAAATGTCTATTGCTATATAAAAGAAGCCAAGCTGAAAAGGCTACATACTGATTTCAACTATATAACATTCTGGAAAAGGTGAGACTATAGAGACAGTAAAAGTATCAGTGGTTGCCAGGGTGCAGGGGCAGAGATGGCAGGGTGAGTAGATAGATCAGAGAATATGTTTAGGGTGGTGAAACTCCTATGTGATGCTGTAGTGGTCAATATGTGGCATTATACATCTGTTGAAACCCATTGAATTGTGCAGCATGAAGAGTGAACCCTAATGTAAACAATGGATTCTAGCTAATATTTATGCACCAGTATCGGTTTATCTGTTTTAGCAAATTGGCTACATTAATGCAAAAATGTTAATCATAGTAGAAACTGTAGGGGCTGAAAAAAGGAGTATATAGGAATTCTTTGTACTTTCTGCACAATTTTTTCTGTAAACCTTAAAATGCTCTTTAAAAATAAAGTTTATTAAAAACAGAAGCAAAGTTAGAATTTGAACCCAAGTTTATCTGATATGAGAGACTGTGCTCCAGGAAGATACCAAAAGGACACTTAGACTTTAGATAGATGGGAGTAAGTTTCCCTCAGTTGTGAGATGGTGAAAACTGTGAGTGGGTCTATATTACTCTTAAAGTTTCTCCCGTTTGGAAAACAAATTACCTCTGCAGTAACAGTGATACAAATAGTGAGTGAACATTCATGAAATAAATCCCACAGAGAAGTAAACAAACCAGTTCTACACAGACCTTTCCAAAGATTATAAATAAAAGGTAACACTTCCCAACTCATGTTAGGAGGACAGCATTCCTCTGATTCCAAAATCAAAGACATTACAAGATCAAAAAATTCAAAAGAGAAATTTTATAATTCAAGTAATTGTGGCCTTTTCTATTTTTCCCCACTAATTCTCGGACACCACTCAGAGAGACTCTCTGACTTGGATCCATGTGTGAATTTCCAACAAAATTAATTCAATTACCAATAAAGCAGCCATGAGAAACAGCAATATTGACAACACCAGTAACACCTGTTAGTCCTACATTTATGAGAGCAAAAGAACATGTGACTAGCATAAGTCTCTTATACCCCCAGACTGAAGGTCCACATCACTAAAACACAGACCTCCCCGCTAGCCTGCTGTAAAGGACACGTCTGTAATGCTCTCTCCATGTGGAGACATGTGTGGGAGGATGGAGGCATGCCTGTGGTTGAGTTCTGTGAGCTGGGTCAGTCATGCCAGCACCAGTTTAATTGTGGGAGTTAATGGCTTTGCTCTTAGGAATTTTATCTGAATTTCAAGTGTTTATGAAAAAAATTAAAGTTAATGACAGTTATTTATTTATCCATCCATTTAGAAACTTCAAAGGAACTCCAGAACACATAAAATATGAGAGTTTATGATACCATATTATTCAATCATAGTAAATAGGAACTTCTTTTAACAATTTGTCTTTTCCTGGGTTATCTGAAAGGAATTATGAATGGTCAGTATCTTTTTCCATCCTACTACATTCAAAGAGAATATTACTGCCAAGTTATAGCTCAGTTTAAGGCCTGGAGGTAGCCTGTCCAGGCTCCAAGCTGAAAGCTGTCCTAAGCCTTTGGCTCAGACTCAGACCTTTGGCAAACCCCTCCCCTGATCTTTCTGGCTTAACTGGGGTGCTTTCTGGTGCTGCTCCCAAAATGAGTCCCCTGGTCTCTCTGAAAGTCTATTGATGACCCATGTGACATTAACTAATTTATTTTTTTCCACTTAGTATATTAAGTGTCAATCAAATGCCAGACAATGTGCTGATCCTTGCCCATCACCACTAATGCCTTTCCCATCCACCTTCACCCCAGCCACCAATACTGGTTCCCTTTTGTCCCAGGTTCTACAGCTGAAGAACTTGAGCCTCTCCACTCAGGGAAGTAGGTTAGATCCAACTTTGCTCCGTGTCTGCCGACACCCAGGACCACTCTCACATGGTCCCTCCCCCTGAGGCCAGCCAAGAGCCCATTCCAGGCCAGCAGTGAGTATTCAAAAATTACCCCCTGAAGCCTGGGTTTTTCTTGAGCTCCTATCTATTTCAGCCCTAGAGCACATAGAAATGCTGCAGCCCTGGGTGGATCTGCTGTTTGGTGGGCATCTAGAAACTCTACTTAACCATGTGGGTGGGAGATAAATGTCCGAGGTTTTCAGTGACCCTCCTAAATTATTGTCCCCTCCAGCACAATCTAAAGGACCAACAGCCAATCTAGGGGGCCCAAGTCCAGCGCAGGTCATTTATATGGAACACCATGTGCGTGCTCCCCCTCTGCCCCCGCTCACAGCAGAGGAGAGTGGATCAGAGACTTAGTCCAGTGTTGCTCCCAAAGGCAACGGCATAATAGTGCCCTCTAGTGACAACCGAACTGACTGTTCCAAAGGCTGTAATGTGAACTCAGAGCCTGGTGAATCCCTTTTTTTCTTCTGAAAAAACGAGATGGAGTAAATAATCTGATGCCTGAGTCATATGTACCTGGTTAAAGCCATGTGCTCCCTTAATGAGCCAAATGTTGGTGTCTTTCAGAGTTCATTAGGTCTTTTCTTCCTCTGCAACCGTCACCACCAGTGCTTTTTTCATTTTTTTAAACGGCTCTATTGAGATAAAATGTACATACCATAAAAGTTCACCCATATTACATGAACAAGTCAGGGTTTTTCAGTGTATTTACAGAGTTCTGCAACCATCACCACAGAATCATTTGAAAGCAGTTCTATCACCCACCAAAGAAACCTCGTGCCCATTTGCAGTCTCCATTCCTATCCCCAGCCCTCCACAACCGCTAATCTACTTTCTGTCTCTGAAGATTTGCCTGTTCTGGACATTTTACATAAATAAATTCAAACAAAGTGTGGTCTTACATGTCTAGCTCCTTTCACTTAGCATAATGATGTTGAGGTTCACACTTTTTTATGGTTGAACAGTGTTCCACTGTATGGAGGCACTACATTTTGTTTATCCATTCATCACCTGGTGCTCTTCTGTTGTAAAAATATTTATGAGCTGAAACTTTAATGCAGTCAACACCCCTGACTTTTGAGTTGATTCTGAAAATTTCCAAAACTATATGTTCAGAGAATTGCAAATATTAATGTTGTCTTTTTGTGGAAACGTAATAGGTGTACAAGAGCTTTCCAGACTCACCTTTGCCGGAAAGTTGTGGAGCCATTTGAACCCGCAATATCCCTTTTACCTTACTTGACAGGCAGCATGCCCCGGGGCCTGTGAGTCTCAGGAGTGTGAGTTACTTTGAAAAAATCCGGACACAGTCTCCAGACCTAGCATTTCATGTGCCCCTTGGCTAGACACTTCTCAATTGCCTTCTGAGCATCACCCCCAGGCTAACACTAACAACTGGGTCTTTTAGATCTCAGATGTGGAATTCCAGGGCCACACCCTGTCCATCTAAGCAGCCCCCCATCTGGACAAGATGACACCCCTTCTAGAAACACTCACCTATTCAATCTAGAAATTCCCACATTTTCTAACATATACCAGAATCCATATTATTCATTTTCATATTTTCATCCCCCGACAGTCTTAAAACATAATATAACTGACTCTCACTCTCAAAAAATAGTTTTATATGATCCCTGGAAGCTCCTATAGCATTAAAATGGCTAACAATTTAGTTCTTTCCATTCTGATAAAGCTCTACCTTGCACGTCTAAGGCAGGCTTCTTGCTCAGTGTTATAATCTTTTATCTCAAAGCAAGACCCCAGTTTCCTTAAGAGAGAAAATCCACCCTAATTCTTAATACTGTAGCTCCCTAACAATATTGACTACTTCACCAGTGACACTGAAATTGTCTGGCCATTGCAGGAAAAAAACTGTAGCATATTCAAAAGACACAATAGAGACAACTCTCAGTCATAATTCCACCAGCAATATTTATTCAAAAGGCTTTAAAGCTTCTATAAGCCAACAAATGACTATACTTTGTAAGAAAATACTTATTGAAAATTTAAGAACTGGATAATCGTTCTTTCCTACTATTGACAAAGCTTCAGTTTGAATCTGAAGCCAAAATATCAAACACCTGTATTTGGCTTTTTTCAGAATATTGAGATTCTCTAGTGTCAAATGAGTAAAGTAGACTCTAAGAAACAATATTTGAGTGGTTCGTGTTTCAGGTTATTTTTTGTTTGTTTTGTTTTTTTTTCATTTTCTAAGGACTGTGTTAAAATGGGAAACTGCCCTTCCCAAACGAGGTTAAGGGTAGCACCAACATTCATCATGGAACCAGCCAGGGCTCTGTCGTAGCTGTGGAATGTGATGCAGGTGACCCGTCTAAAAGTCAATTCAGTTACCTTCACTGCAAAGCAACAAGGAAAAGGTCTGTGTGTGTCACTTTTGCTAGAACTTATGAGAAAAAAGATTGATGGGTACAGTTTTAGGATGGCAAGAGACAGGGATTTCAGACGCTGGGTTTTACTCTCAAATCCAACAAGGCCTGGATGGATGACATTGCTCATCCCCTCACTGTATCTCAATGAACTGCTCGGACGCTGTAATGGAAAACTGCAGGGCAGCCCAGGTGGTACGCGTGTTTCTTATGAGGGCAATAGCTATGACTGAAAATCTAATAGCAATCAAAAGCGAGTCCCGAGGGGCAGATTCCTTTCCTTCAATGTTGCTGAACAATAGCGGCGGCACTTTGGATGCTTGAGAGCTGATGAATGGCCAAGGTTGCTGCAGTATTATATAACTTTTCAAAGCCATTTCTGACATCAGAAAAATCGAGACATGTGTTCAGCAAGCCTAAAAATGGCAAAGGCTCTAAAATAGGCTCTAAAAAATAATTGGAAGCTGAGCAGCTGAATTGTAATATAATACTTAAAGAACAGTGAGCCTGCTGTTATCCAGTTTTGCAAGGCTCTGCAAAAACCCTAACCCTCCCTCCCTCCCTCCCCTTCCCATCACCTACCTCTACCTCCAAAAAAAAAAAGAAAAGAAAAAACAGGGTTATAAGGGGGAAGATGAGCATGCATTTATAAATGGCCAACTTATGACAGACTCAGTTTCCTAACTTTATTTAATTAAATAATGAATAGTGATCAATGTATAATAAAAACCACTATGCACTAATAGGTTTTGAAAGTAGGTGTTATAGTATGTGTTCAATCAATGTTTATGTTTACCTTTTTTCCTTTGTTTGGTGAACCAAATCTTCCCCTCTCATGAATTCTCATGAACTCTACTGGAGTTCATACTGTACTGAAGGTCTCTCTGAATGAACTTAAACCAATGTTTGCAAAACAAACTATGATCTATGTTCATTGGGAGCAATTGCTCACTAATTCTGCCAGAGGATTAGAATTGTTTTATTTTAGAGAAATTCTTAGACTGAAGAATGACCCCTTTTCTCTCAAACTCATGACTCAGGGTGTTAGGTGGAATGTTGGAGAATTTTCCAAGAAGTGTCTTTGTAAGTGGTAAAATATATGAACCATAGAATCAAGAGCTAAGGGAAGGTGAGAAAAAGTCTTTCGGTTTAGAAGACTTTATGTCCACTGGGCACTACACAGTCTGCCATTTCTCCAACCTTTAATGATATGTTTGTTCTTATAATTGGCATGAATCAGATGCATTTAAAAATGAAGTCCTATTTCTCCATTGCCTTATATTTGAATTTCAGAGATGAGGTTCCAAAGGAAAAGTGGCTCTAAGACATAATAAAAATTGTATCTGAGGATTTAGCAAATGCCACATTTAAAGGAAAATGGTATTCATGTCCTGATGCAATATTGATATGCTCAGTGTGTACCTCCAGCAGGACAGGCCTGGGCTTAAAGCAGCGGAAGACTGACAGCTACCACAGGGCAGGCCTCCTGTGTGCACGAGTCCATACACTGATCTCCCAGGGGTGCAGCCTGAACAGCTTACTTATAGTAATTTAGCTCTTGGAAACCTGGCTCATACAAATCAAATTCACATGGGACTGACTGGTATTAGAAAGCCACAAGAAGAAATCTTGACTGCTGGAATTCCAGCTATCCACAGCAGCCAAGCAGTACACACCCTTCCCAGTGGGGACACCTGCTTGAGTGATCATCTGTACCCCAGGCATTTGCTAGAGAAGTCAATCATAAATTGATGGCAAGCCAGTATCTGCTAAAGGATAATTTAAGACAGCTGATACTGGAACAGAAAGACTCCAATAGACTAGGTAAACAATCTATTATTCTCATTTTCAAAGTCACCAAATTATCAGAAAGCAAAGCATTTGAACTACATTAGCTCAACATTCCCCACCATGGAAGATGCGGTCTTCTCTCTCCTAGACTCCAGTGTTCACATTCAGTGAGTGAATGTTATGATGAAATAGTCATTGAGTCTAGGATGTGCCAAGGAGGAGATAAAATTTTAACTCTGCATTTGAAAATTGCAAATGATTTCTTGTGTTTCATTTAGTCAATATTTGTACAATAGATGTCACTAATCTCCTACTAGGTGTTAGGTGCTCTGCAAGATGCTAAAATCATACAATTGAATGAGAAGCAGTCCCCATCCTGGGGGAGTTCACTGTCGGCGAGAAAGTCACATACTGAAAATAGAGAATATAAGTAACACTGGGGATGTGCACAAAGGATGGAGCCATTAATTTAACCAGGGTGGAAAAAAAGAAAATAGTTCAGAAAGGTTGTACAGAGGAATTTGCAAATAAACTAGAACTTCCCAGATGCACAGAAATATAGGGGTATTCCAGGCAAAAGAAAACATTATATGTTTACTAGACAGAATGCTTCTGGTTGAAAGTGGAATAAATATCCAATACAAACTAGCTTGGAAAAATGTGTATTAACTTACACAACTGGAGTATCCACGGGGATATGCAATGTTCACTGCATCACTGGTTTCTTTCTCTTCATCTGTGCTCCCATCCATACCAGCTTCATTTTCAGAGAGGCTGTCTCCACATGATGGGAAAGAGCAACTAGCAATTTCAGGCTCACGTATCTCTTTGCAGCCTGTGATCCTAGAGGATATTAGGAAGCATCTTTCTCAACTCCTGCAAAAGCATAGGGAAAAACACTAGGTCTGGCTTGTACAGTATACCTATACCTAAAATAGTTGTGATATTCCTTTTTGTTGAGATGCTTTTAACTGGTCAGTGCAGTGATGTTGACTAAACAGGATTATTATGACATTAGAGTGAGAGATCCCCCATAGAAAGGAGAGCTGGAAAGGTAAATAATATGTGCCCACTACACTATAAAAACCTGAACACATACTGTGTTTTGAAACTCATAGGTGTGACTATAAGTGTATACAATTCAGGAAAAAAATCAGTCAATAAAGTCAGGCAGTTCTAATGAAGTGCAATGCCTCTGACAGCATGAACTGTAAATAGTTCACTAAAGAGATCCGTGTTTATTCTAAATGTCAACAGGAAGCCATTGCAATGTGTGATTTAAAATGTGCCTACTATCTTGTAAATGACTTTCATGTACATCGGTACATTGAATCCTTAAAAATTCCTACAAATTAGGTACCCTTATCTTCATGTAAAATATGGAGAAAAGAAGCTCAGAGGTTAAGTGACATGTCCAAGTCACAGGATCCATAAATAGCAGATGAGTATTCAGGCTCCTATCATATTCCAAGACCCATATTCTAGTCTCTTTCTCTCTCACACTACACACACACACACACACACGGACAGATGGGGGATAGAGAGAGAGTAGTTTAGGTTAGTCTGCCAATGTGAAGTAGGGTGTTTTTAAAATGTCAGATGCAAAAAAGGGAGCAGTCTTTATAAACTGAGAAAAACAGAGAGTTAAAAATTCTTCCATAATGACCAGGGGATCTGCTCTATGACTCCCTGAATGGCTTTGCTGGATTATATTTAGTGAGGGAATGTGATCACTACAAGTTAATAAAAGAAATACCCTTCCTTAAGGGCAGCCAAGCCCCTGTCTTTTGGTCTACATCCAATAGTTTCAGATCCTGCTTGTGCATCTGGCATTTGTCTTTTAACAAGCTCCACAGGGGACACTGACACTCATGCGCACGTGGGGTCCACAGTACCAGCCATCTTCCAATTCCGATGCGCCCACCCTGGTACCTGATTTTTATTCCCAGGACAAAGGGCTGAAGTGCTTAATAAAAATGCCAGGTATTTTATGCTTAGAACAGAGGGTAGCTGCCCTCTCATTCACTAGAATTTATGGTCTCCTGGTTCAAAATAAGCAAAGCTAATTCCCTTCAGCAGGTATTTGCCATCATTTTTCTTATTTCGAAGTTTATTTGAGAAGGTTCATTTGCCCTAGCCATTCTGAAAATTTTAGAATTGGAGCTGATTCATCTGCTGTGGCTTTACATTTTCTTTGACTTTTAAAAAGCTGTTTTGCATCAATATCTTTCTCAAGTTTTTATCCTTTTCTACCCTCTGCTAAAGATGTCTCTTCACTGTTTATCTTTCCTTTAATAAATCAGAACTATTTCATTTTAAATGCTTTATGGTTACATTTGGAACCAACATTTATTTCCTTGTTCTGAGCATTTTCTCAGATAATCATTCTTTGTTTGTGTCGTTTTGTGTGTTTTAAGCTTCAGAGATTCTAGCAGAAATGTCAGTGAATAACCAACCATCAGGAATGAATCTGTTAGGAATCGATACCTCGATGTACATGAGTTTATCAGAAGCTTCCTCTAAAATCAGATTAAGAAGAGTAGAAGGATATGAATGCTGTGTGTATCTTAATGGAACCAACTTGAAAGGGAAGGAAGGAGAGTGCACAGAAAGGGAAGATTTGAAAGAAGGAAGATAAACATTATCTGCTCCATAGTTCCTTGGAATGTTTCCCGATTTGAGTTCCCTGATAATTCTGAGGAGAAGAACTCAGAACAGATAATGTTTTGATTTTTTTATGTGGAACTAACTCTTTTCTAACAGAGGGCAAGTTTAAGAATATCTACTCAATATTTCCAAAGATCTCCATGTAAAAACAAAAGTGACTTAACAGTTTGGAGATCAAAGCAATTAGAAATGTTGTTTATCTCCCTTCCGTAAGTAAGTGCAGAATCATCACATGTAAGAATATTTATAATAGTAGTGTGTATTTCATTCACATCAAATACTAGTGGGAGTATGGAGAAAGGACAACTGACTTCTATCTGTAGGAAAATAAAGCAAATTTTGAGGATGGGAAGGAAAATTTAATTACGGGACATTTTCTTGAAGTTAATTTTCCTTGCTTTTCTCTTGGTGTGTAAGCTCTCTATCAGAGAGAAGATTTATGGATGTCTTATTTTAATTAGCAGTCTGGAGGTAAATGTTCTGTGAAAAGTTGACTGTGTGTCCTCACTTCTCAAAACTGCAAGGGGAACACATTATGAAATATATCACAAAGGCTTACTAGTGCCATATGTTATATATTCGGTGCTTTTGGTTTTGTGTTTTTAATTGCTTAAATGTGGCCAGATGCGGGTTAACTATGATGCTAATAAAGCCCCAACCTTGGACAGGTGCTCCCAAGGCCCCAAGAGGGGCCCTAGCAATGGCACATGGTCATGTTTTTTTATAAAATTTGTTAAGTAAGATATGTTAATATTTGTTGCAATCTTTACGATCAGTTTCTCTCCACCCCAGCTGAATTTCCTTCACAATTTCCCTTGTGCCAATTGATGGTGATATAGTTATAGGCATTTTTGAAATCCACTTAAGGGGAAGTAGAGTTGGAGGACATACTTATTTTGCATTTACTGGAATATAGTGATGTGGCTCAGAATCCCTTCTGTGTATAGCTAAATTATTGCCAAACACCCCAGTGTAGGAATGGCTCCTAGAAATATTCCTCTTGCCAACTGTGAAGATTCACTATACCATGATGAGAAAGTACAGGGCTAGAAGTTGAATCACAAACCAAAGGTATCCTTCAGATCTCAGTAAGGGCAGTATGTGAACAATGGAAGAGAAATAAACTTTGAATTTTATGGAACCAGAAGCTAGTCTCTGGAAATTTCTTCCAAATATCACATATGTAAAAGTATAAGTAGAGGACTTGTTTCTTAATAATGCCTAATTAAAAACAGAAGCTTTCTTGTCATGACTGTATGAAATAATTCAGCTTGAACACTTATATATGTATTGGGTGTCTTTAGGGAATTCATGCCAAATAAAATTTATCAGAATTCTGATGTTTATAAGGGGAATACCTTCAACAGAAATACAAAACAGAGAGCATACATGGGTGGGAATTTGCATGTTTTCTTAATACCCAATATCAGTATTTTTTTAAAAACTACATTTTGTTATTTATACTAAAATCTGAATTATTTGTTCACCATCTCATAGAAAATATTTTAAAATTATTATCCCATAAAGAGATGATTTATTAAAGAGGATGTGGCCAATAGTTGCCAACAATAAAATTATTATGGTGACAGATAATGAAGCAGTTAATGAATAAAACCATTGAATTATTTTTATAGATATTATGGTGTTTATGATATTTGTCAGCTTTAGCAAATGTTATATGTTATGTTTTTTTTAATTTTAAATAGATGTTAGGGTTAATATATAATTTGTATTCTTAATACTGTGTGTTTATTCTTACAGATGGACCCCAAACTAGATAAGCTTCAGGTACCTATAAACCTGGATCTGCTCTGTAAGCAACTTCTTCAAGAAATGAGGTCTCTGGAAATGGAACAGATAGTCCTGTACTATCAGGTTGGAATTGTCTTCCTTTCTAGAGAGCATGAGCAGTTGTGCTTGCTGCAAGGATGTCAGAATGGTTAACTTTAGGAAAATCTGCTAATATAATTTCGCCCATTAATTGATTAAAGGAGAAAAATCACGTGATCATCTCGGTAGATCCAAAATATATTAGATAAAATTTAATACCCAGGAAAGATAAAATTTATAACAAACTAAGTATCAAAAGGATCATCCTTAACCTGATAAATGTTGCCTATCAAAAGGCTATAGCAATGACTGGACTTAGAGTGAAATATTAGAATCAATCATTTTCATATCACGAACAGAGTGAAAGATCTCCACTATTACTGCCAACTAACGCAAAAAGACAATAAAAAGCAATGAGAAGTAAAAGGATTGGGAAAAAAAATTCATAATCCATGGATTATATAATTGTCCTCCTTGATTATTGAATACAATCTATAGGAAAATTCTAGACATAATGAGTGAAATTGTTGCATTGAAGATACAAAAATTAATTACATTCCTATGCACTAGAAACAGTCATTAAGAAGTATAATAATTGTTTTTAAAAACACCATTTGTATTAGCAGCAGAACCCATCACACAGCCAGAAATAAATCTATCAGAAAAGGTCCAAGACCTATATGGAGAAAATGAATAATATCTTTATTGAAGGCATAAAAATCCCCTAAGTAAATGGAGAGAGATACTTTTGGTCATGGATGAGAAGAATCAATTTCATAAAGGTGTCAATTCCCTCTAAATTAATCTATAAATTTAATGAATTCCTATCATAATCTCATCACAGTTTTTTATAGACTGTGACAAGCTGGTCTGAAAACGCATATGGAAAAGAATATAGCCAAGAATAGTTAAGTTAATTTCAAAGAAGAATAAAGAAGAGGAATTTCCTCTATCAAATAGACTTATAAAGTTATAGTAATTGGGAGAATATTTATTCAGAGATAGATAAATTGACCTTTGGGACATAATAGAGAGTAGGATTCTGAGCCTCCCAACTATGAGGATTTTACGCTTGACAGAGGTAGCACTTCACAACTCATTAGGAAGATGGACTGTATAATAGATAGTGCTGAGACAGGATTCATACAGGAAAAATATCAAATTATTTATGTAGTTTATACCAGTAGTTCTCAAATAGGGTGATTTTGGTACCCAGTGGACATTTGGCAATGTGTGCAGTCATTTTTAGTTGTGATGCCTGGGAGGGGAAGATAGTACTGGTGTGTTTAGTGGGTATATGCCAGGGATGCTGCTGAACACTCTATGGGCATAGAACAGCACCCTACCCACCCCCCAACAAAGAATTATACAGCCCCAAATGTCAATAGTGTCACCACGGAGAAACCCAGCTCTAGATGGAACAGACTTCCCCCAGCTAGCTATGGGCTATTTCCCTCACTCCTCTTCAGATCTGTTCAAATGTCTCTTTCTCAATAAGACTGATCTGAGCTCCTCTTATTTGAAATCGCTACCTGTATTCCTCCCTTATGACGTTACTGATCCCTCTTACTCTGATCTCCTTTTTCATTACTCTGTAGCACTTACAGTATTCTAACATTCAACAAAATGCACTTATTTATTTTGCTCATTATTTATTGTCTGCTAGAATGCCTTGTTGTGTTCACTGATACATTTCAAACACACAGAATATTGTTTAGCATATAGCAGGTGACAATAAATATTTACTGAATATATGGATAAACAATCCCAAGTGCTAATTAATATGTAGCATAGCAGGATCACTCATGCTGGTGGATAGGGTCATTCTGAAGAGAAATTTGGGATTGTCAAATGCATTTAAAGATTTACATCCCAAAAGAGGTTATGTGAAAATGGTAGGTTGAGTCACCACAGAATTTCCTAACCAGCATCTAACCATATGAGCCAATAAAGTCAGCACCAAATAAAACAGTTATCAAGTTATTCTTGAGGAATAACTCAAATCCATAAACATCAGTGACATGTAACTAAAAACAGAAGTAGAAGATTAAGAACAGAAGAAAACTGCAGCATATCAGAGTTCCTAGCCCTAATCCCCTCCTAATCTACATACCCTGATCTTTTTTTCCTTTTCTTTTCTTTTTTTTTGTTTTCATTTTCAGATAGGGATTCATGTCTGTGCATATGCTTCTTCTAATTGAACAAAGTTGGTTTAAAAAAAGCTATTATCCAAGAGCACAAATCTAATAGAATTACATGAGGAATACATACTCACATGCATATGTGCATGTGTATGTATATTTATACATTTATATCCTGATGCTCAACTTCAGACCTTTTTAACGAGAGCCTCCCTGCATGGAGCTGAAGAATGTGTGTATGTGTGGATTTTCCTTTTAAGTTTTTCAGCTGAGTCTGATAATCAGCCAAATTTTGCAACTATCCATCAAGAAGGTTTTCAAATATGTCCCAAGAAATCTTGGATAAGAGCATTGGTGGAGATACATGTCTTAGAAGTCATTTATTGGGCATTCTGGGAAATCAGATGGTTTTATCTTTATATATATTTATATATTTTGTAAAAATATTGTTTTGAGAAAAAAGTAAGTTTCATTTTTTAAAAAAGTTAGTAATCCATTGAGCTGGAGAAACCTAGTAAATGGAGTGACTTTTAAAAGTGTGTGCTAGGTGCTGTGATGGGCCACTCAGATCTGCAGGACTGAGGAAATTTTCTTTCCTGCTCTTAAGAGTGCATCCAGAAGATGACCCTTAGCTGCCATCCATCTTTGGTGATTGCCTCAGCTGAAGAAAACTGCCTGGTCCAAGGTCAGCCTCCTTCTAGGGAAAGCACATATCCAATGACTGATTTATGCAAGTGTAAAAAGTCCTGGTCCATTTTCCTTCAACTCAGGATAACTTTGAACATCCATCCCAGTCTCTAGAGCATGCCCAATGGGATCAGCTGAGCCCTTCATTAAGACAGCACCACAGCTGCCTCTGCCCAGTCCTGCTCCCTTCCCCTCCTCACTGTTAAATCTGCAGAGCACTCCCTAATAAACATCCTATTTGCCCATCTGCATCTTACAGACTGCTTCTGAGAAACCGGACTACAACACCAGGTGAACCTAGATCGTATGATTACATGATGCATCATACTCTACCATTGCCCGAGTGAGTGAACTGATTAAATGACTGACAAGCAGATAAAGGGAGGAAAAATGGACCACATGCCAAAATCAGACTGTTCTGCATTCATAACAGATGGAAACTAACAATCTGCCAGTTGTGAGTGAGTTAGAAAAATAGGAAGCTTGCAACACACACTGGCATGATGTTAAATGGATACACATGGGTAGCATTAGCTCAAGCTCACGCTTCTGCAGTCACCTGCTTAAACAGATACACTGTTTGGAATCTCCATTTATGAAGAGTTGGAGGTAGACAAGAGCGGGAAATTAAAGTCTGAGAAACTTATCTATTGAAGAAAAGTCAAAGAAGTTGTTTTATTTTTTTCGATTCTTTTTATTTTTAATTTCAAAATGTTAAGGGGGTACGAATGTTTTAGATTACATGGATCACTTTTGTAATGCTTGAGTCCCGGCTATAGGTGTGCCCATCACCCACATAGTGTTCATAATACACATTAGGAAGAATTTTCCCCTTCCCCCTCTCCCCCCTCTGCCCTGGTTGATTCCCACTGAGTTTGACTTCCCTCTATGCACATGTGTGCGCATCAGTTAGTTCCAATTTAATAGTGAGTACCTGTGGTGTTTGTTTTTTCATTTTTGAGATACTTCATTTAGAAGAATGGTCTCCAGTTACAGTCAGATTGTTGCAAAAAGCATTAATTCATCTTTTTTGTGGCTGATTAGTACTGCATGGTATACATATACCATATTTTATAAATCCATTCATGAATTGATGGGCACTTGGTTTGATCCACATCTTTGCATTTCCACATCTGGGCACTTCCACATCTTTGCAATTATGAATTGTGTTGCAATAAACATTTCAATGCAGCTAAGGGTTTTTTGTTTGTTTATTTGTTTTTATTTGTTATTTCAGAATATTAAGAGGGTACAAACGCTTTGGTTACATATATTGCCTTTGCACCTCCAGAGTCAGAGCTACAAGCCTACCCAGACCCCAGAGAGTCACACCATACCTGTTAGGTGTGAATTTACCTTAACTCTCCCCTCCTAACCTCCTCCCACCTCCCATCCTGCACATAAGGATGAATGTTACTTCCATATGTGCACAAGTGTTGATTAATTAGTACCAATTTAATGGTGAGAAGTAGTTTTAAAGTTGTTTTAAAGATAGTAGCCCCTACCTCTGACATCAGTGGGAAGAATGAAATGAACCATACCCATTTTCCAATTTGTGAACAATTACTGTTTATGTAATTAATTTATTTTAGGAAAAACAATGACAAATAAATAAATAACCTCAAATATATGCACACTGATGCCAGGAAAAAAATGTGTACCAATGTCCTGAAGATCATGTACCGTAGCAGGATTCCACTGATGGTGAAGAGGACCCAGTTAGCACCATTCTGAGTAAGGACATGAGGCCATTGTGGGAAATGTTCCCTCCCAGTTCCTTTGTATCATTCACATCTTCTGAGGCTGTGTGCTTTCTGCATTCTTTTTGTTTTTGTAGATTTACAGTTGTTGCTGCTGTTTTACTCTTAAATAAATTGCTGTCTAGAGAAACTTCAGTTAATGGTATAAGAATTCAGATGAAGAACCAATGAAAGAAGTGAAAAGATCGCTGTCAACATAATCAAAAAAACACAATTAACGAGATATTTGACAGTTCTGCCAAGACTAAACAATGTGCCAAGCCTGGAACCACTGACTATGAAGACAACTGTCCATGCAAGAATGTCTATGACATGACATGTCTTGAATGTCTCTGTCTATGACAGAGATGGTAGGGAATAAAAGAATAAATACTCTAGTTTTATTCCATGGCTCAATTGATCACTAACTTTTCTTTCATTACTTTAGGAATGCAGATTAGCATGCATTCATTACAGATCTGTGTATTTACTGTTCCAATAAGTAAATGTGGCAAAAACAAACAAAAAACAATTTCACCGTGACATTTATTCCACTTTTTTTTTTTACCTCTCGTGAGACTATGTATTTTGATTTGAATGTTTCCCTATGTTCTTTCCATGTCTTATAAATCCAACTAACATGAGAATAAAAAGGCAAGCATGATACTGCAAGGAACTTAGTCCATTTTCTAGAATTCAACATGTATTAGTTACCTACCCAAACTTTCTCCAATGCCTAAAATGTGGCTCAGTAGTACTAGATGAACAATATTGCTTTGAGTTTTTAAATATAATCAAAATACTTAGACTTACTCCAAACTTGAATAACTGCTAGAGATAAAATGAAAATGTTCTTCTCTCTTCAATAACTCTTTATTAAATAGGCTATTTAATAAGATAGGGAATGAATTATTTAACTGCCCACCATAAGAAATGAAAAAGACCTGTGAATTGGTGTTGAGGTTGAGAAGTACAATTAAAACTGTAAAATAAAATCTCCATTTTACCTAGATGGGTAATGGAGAAAGAAGACACATTGTCTAAGAATTTAATTAGACTAGAGTAATTTTAAAGCTTAGATTCACAAAAGGAGCCCCAAACTAAGCCTGTGTGACTGGCCTAGAAGAAGCTAACTTGCTATGTTTAAAAATACAAAAAAATGTTTGTTTTTATGTCTGAGAAGAAAGGAGAAGAGCAAGAAGGATAAGAAGAGAGATAGCGATGTCGAGGGTGGGTAGGCTAAACAGTTGACAAGAAACAGGATAATGATTTATAGAAATGGCTACAATACCAGAAAATGCAAAGGGTCTATTAATCAGTTTAAAATGTTCATGTGGTTATAAACCTCTCCTTATTCCCAAACTTTCAGTAATGTAACTTATACCCACAATGCCTTCTATGAGTGGTGTGTCAGTGGTGTGTGTGTGCATCTGTGTATATGTGTAGTAAAGAAAAGGACTGAATTCTACATGTCGATCCGTGTGAGCAAAGGCACATGCCTTTTGGACTTTTTCTTTCTCTTCCGTGATCTGCAGCCCATACCTGGTATCCATTCTCATGGATTTAATTGTATTAGTTTCAAAAAATAAATAAATACATATATATTGATTTTTTGGTGTATTTATTTTTTTAAAGATGGCTGGTCTTGAACTCCCAGGCTCAAGCAATCCTCCTGCCTCAGCCTTCCTAGTAGCTGGGACTACAGGTATGGGCTTTCCCACCTAGCTCTTAGAATATATTTGAACATTTTGAATGCTCATGTAATCCTCATATCAACCTTTGTGAAACACTTAATTTTATTTTTCCCCAAAGAAGAAACTGATGCAAAGCGGGTAATAAGAAAGCTTGGTCCCAACGCTCAACAGCTAAAAAATGGCAGTTTGAATTTATTTCCAGGCAGTTTAATTTCAGGGCCCTTACTTTTTAATTTCGTACTTCACTTGTGTAAAGGAAATTTCTAGTGATCCTCAGGAAGGATGGTATTGAGCATATGTAGATTGTTTTCCATTTAAGAAAGTATTTTTCTATTATATATTATTTCATAAATAGCATATTTTCCTCCCAGTTTAGCACTTACTGAAGTAATCATGTAGATTTCACCCTTAATATGTTTAAAACACATTGAATGGGTCTATGATTTTGATGATAATGTTACTCTTCTGACAGTTACAGAACAGACTTCAGGGTCAACTCTTAGATTATAAATTCTCATGTCATTATAAAACAGATGAAAACATACTGCTTTCATTTCCTTTGGATATATACCCAGAAGGAATTGCTGAAATCAGTATGTTGAGGAAACATCTGAACTCTCGTGTTCATTGCAGCATTATTCACATAACTGAGATATGAAATCAAACTCAGTATTCAGTCGTGAGAGTAGAATGCATGAAGAAAATTCGTATTTATTAATACACAGCTGGAAACTATTCAACCACAACAAAAAAAGGAAATCGGGTCATATGTGACATCATGAGTGAATATCGAGGACATTATATTAAGTAAATAATAAGCCATGCGCAGAAAGACAAATACTTGCAAGATGTCATCATTATGGGTGTGGAGAACTAAAAATTGAGACTCGTAGTGGCAGAGTAGATAGATGGGTCCAGGAGGTTAGAGGTGAAGGTCAGGGGCATTGGGAAGTAGTTTGGTAACAGGACAATTTTCAGTGAAGGAGGAATAAATTCAGGAAATGCAGAATAAAACCATCCACATATTGCCATATGATCTTTGACAAAGGAGACAATACACCATTGAGAAAAGAATCCCTGTTCAATAAACAATGCTGGGAAAATTGGATAGACCCATGTGGAAGATTGAAACAGGATCCTTATCTCTCACCTCTCACAAATTCGATTCAAGATGAATAAAAGACTTAAGTCTAAGCATGAATCTGGTAAGGATTCTAGAAGATAATATTGGAAAAACTCTTCTAGATAATTGGCTAGACAAACAATTTATACAAGAAGACCCAAGGAACTCACCAACAACAAAATATAATGATACTTGGATTAATTTAAAAAAAGTCTGAAGCCAAGTAATCAATCAACAGTACAATAGACAACCCACAGGAATGGGAATAAAATTTTTGTATGCATTACATCTAATAAAACTAAGGGGAATTTACAGAAATCTACAACAGGAACTCAAGCACATCAAGCCAGAAAAAATGAAAAACCCCATTAAAAAGTAGGCAATACATGGGACAAAGCTTTTCAACATGAACATAAACTAATGGCGTACAAACACATGAAAATTGTTGCAATGGTCTGTAACCATCAGGGAATGCATTTTCAGAACAATAATGAGATAATTCACTCTAACTCCGTGGGAGAATGGTCTTTTATCCAAAAGTCACAAAATAACAGATGCTGGTGTGGATGCAGAGAGAAGGACCATTAGTCACTGTTTGGTGGGACACATATCTATTACCTCTATGAAATAGTATGGGAGATTCCCTCAAGAACATAAAGCGTAGACCTACCTTGGATCTAGAAAACCCTATTCCTGAATATGTTAGACCACAAGAAAAAAAGCCATTTTACCAACACTGCAACACGCAATGTTTATTACAGCACAATTCACTATCACAAAAGATGTGGAATCAACCCAGAGTGCCTGTCAATAATGAGTGGATCCAGGGAAAATGTGGTATTGTATACCATGGAGTACTACTCAGCTATACATGATGAATTATCACTTTTTGTAACAACTTGGATGGAACTAGAGATCATTTCCTAAGTGAAGTATTGCAAGAATGGAAAACAGATACCACATATACTCACTATTAATTTTTGAACTAACCGATCACTTATGCGCACATACAGAAGTAAAACTCTATGGAAATCAAAGAGATGGGAGAGGGGAGAAAGGAATGAGTGGAATCACACCTGATGGGTACAATGAACACTATCTGGGTGATGGACACACTTAAAACTTTGACTCAAGCTGTACAAGATCAATCCATGTAACCAAAACATTTCCACCCCTACAATATTATTAAATTAAAAAAAAATCAAAACATCATTTTGTACACTATAAATATATACAATTTTTATTTGCCAATTAAAAATAAATAAACAACACACTAAAAAACATAGATATAAGAATTACATAAGCTTGAATAGAGCATAAATTTTTATCATTATAAGTAAAGCCATAATATAATAAATAATTTTATTCTACTGATAAAGAAATAACCAGGTGGAAACAAATACTCATCTCAGATGATTTAGGACCAAATGTCAATAAGTAGACAGTTTGTTTCTTGTGTACCTCCTTAGTATTTACCACCTCTCCTTAAAGCAGGTGAATTGTCTAAATTCTTAGACAATCTATGGGTATGCATAGTTCCTGGCACTGGCCCTATTTTATTTCCTTTATCTCTAATTATCCCTGTAAAAGTCTTTTGTACATTACAGTATCCTATTTGTGAGTTTTCCTGTGCTTTGTTTATTTTTAATTTAGCCTTTTAAAAATGTTTTTCTTTTACCTATCCCGAGGAATGCACCTAAAGCCATCTCTTTTATACTGTAGCTAGACACTTCCTGAAATACCAGACTGAAAGAAATGTTGTAGTGGGTTTTAAACACTCAGAATCTATTAATAGAATCTATTAGAAACTAATATCTAATAGAATAGAATAAATAGAATAAATAAATTCTAATAGAATAAATGTAATAGAAACTCTGGCCCCTGGTGGACCAAGTACCTTTTTTCCCCTGAGAAATTTGGCTCAAGTATGTTTTGATTTTCTGTGAGGGGTTGAGGATAAAGGCTTTAAAATACAAACCCAATATCCTTAATTCAACAGTAAAGAAGAGCCTACAGATTATTTATAGTCATGAATGATATTAGAAGAAGAGTTGAATGCCTTTGGTTGATTACAAGTTAGAGCCAAAGTATCACTATGGAAGCTAGAAAACCTTAGAAAATCTATGTATTTATTTATTAACAAGTAGTTATCAAGGTCTAGAGTTTAAATAGTATATAAGCATTATGATATAGTATTTAGCAGCAAGGGTTCCTATAAATTAGTATTTCAAGAAGAGAATAATCATACAAATTAGTGTCAAAAATAATATTTAAGGAAAACAAGATTTTGAACTCCTCTAATTTCTCACTTAAGATTTAAATATTATTAGTATAAATAGTTCAATGAGAAACAGTTTTTCTCTCAGCTACTTTCTAGCTTTATTCTAAGTACAAGCTTACATGAAATTCTGCTTGAGTATCTAGTAAAAGAATAATGGGATGATAGAAAGATCATTTTAAAAGATGCAGGTGAAAATTCAGAATCAGCTGTTTTAAAATTTATGAACAGCAGTAGTAATTTAACTTGCGATGGGGACAATTTTATTTCCATTTCCATGAATGCTAATGTTCATATTTCAGTTATTAGAATTAATCTGACTCAATTATATTCTGTGGGCTTGGGTTCAGCTATACTGATTGATAACACCAACAAACATTAAGTATAGTTTTGTGATCTGTGACATTATATGGCTATTTCCTTACCAAACAGGAAAGGGTTGACAGAATGTCCTTTTGACCCCAAATGCAAAACCCATTAGGAATTAATGATAAATAATATTCTAAAGATAATGCCATTCATTTATTCGACAAATATTGAGTCTATCCATAAAACCAAGCTTAAGGAAGGGAAACTAGCATTTACTGGAGACTTCAATATATGCCAAGAAGTGTTTAGCTTATTGCTAAACTCTTCTTCTTTAATCTTCATGGCAACCATGTGAGAATAGGTATTATTAATACAGCTTACAGATGAAAAAGTATAAATATATCAAGATTAACTTGTTCAAAATTGAACAAAGGATAAGCCGTGGCACTATAATTCACATCCATATCTTTATAATCCTAAATCTCAGTTCTTTTCATTATATGAAAAGTTCTTTTCATGTTCCTAGTCACTGAGTGGATTCCAAGAAGTCTAAGATATTGTTTCTTCTTATTGTCAAAGTTTATGTCCTAATTGAAAAGACAAGATATGCAAATTGTCACTCATTCTACAAACATGTTTAAGCCTCTATAATGAATAATGTTTTATACAGGTAGAAAAAATACAGTTCAATAACAAATGCAACTTATATCTCTTGCATTGAGAAACTCATGAATTAGGTTAGTTTGTTCTTTTATGGGCAAATAAAATTATGTATATTTTAAAAATCTATTTCAACAATAGAAATCTATTTCTCTTCTTTATAACTATAAACTGAAACTTGAAGTTTTCCAAGGGTGGCCACTTTCTGATGCTTGCAAACTTAATCAAGGCACTGGATTTAACTTAAAACACAGGAATTGTCCACAGAAGGTAAGTGGAAGCCTAATTCATGAATTTTCAAGTTTTGTTATACTTTATCCATTTTCGTACATATGTATGACCATAAAATGCATTGTCTCTCAGCTCAAGTGCTTTTCCATAGGTCATAGGAATCAATAGTGTATTCATTGTATCCAAAATGAAAGTCCCAATTTACATCCCCAAACTTGTTTCTATCCCAAGTTTTCCATCTCACTGAATGGCAAGACAAAAAACTAGAAGTCAATCAATCTATCTCTAATTCTTTCCTTTTACTCTCCATGATTCTATCACCCATATAGTTCATATAAAACCACCTTTTCTATCTTGTAAGTCTACAACCTGTGCTA